TGAGAACTTCTTTGAGAAACCCTCGATGAATGTGTTGTTGCGTTTACTTAGGACATAGAATAAATACACACATGACAAACAAAGTTACCTGATAGTTTTGATTGACAACGTCTTTTACATGCATATGTTTGTACATATATAATTTATCTGTAACACTTTACAAAAAAAAATTAATTTCTAATCATTTTGTGGTCTGACTTCACGAAGGTTATAAAAGAACACTGTGGCGACCTAGAGAGCTGCGTTATACATCACTACTCATCCCAGTGTCAAGACGGTACGGTCGAAAGTTGGATCGACACAGTGATTCGCGAGAAACACACAAAGGATCTCACACTCGTAAACCATCTAATTGGTTGTGTGAGACATCACTATGAGCCTACTGTGCTTTACTTGCTCCCAAACTCATTTTCGCATCGTAGCCTCACTTCATTGTCACTTCGTCGATTCAGACTAGTAAGTACACATGCCTTCAAGAATTGCTCGAATCTGAAGATCCTGAAGTTGTTAAGCATCGCCATCTCCGAAGCTGATGTCCTTAGCAGAGTTTTCGCAGCTTGCTCTTCCCTCGAGGTGATTGTATTAGAGATTCATTGCTTAACTCGACGTGGTGTGTTAAAGATCGTGAACAACAATTTAAAGTTCTTACAAGTGACTTCTTATAACAAGATTGATAGGATTGAAGTGCATGCAACTTGTCTACATGTTCTTGACATAAAATTTATTAGATGTGAGAGAGATAACTTCATCCTCGTTGCCCCTAACGTCCGGTTTAACAGAAACTACTGGATTGCTCGCGGTTATCCTTATGCTCACATAAGCTACGACATTTCTGATCTCCCTCAGGTAAACAACTATATAATTTTGATATTTATAGAATAACAAATTTAATGTTTAAATTAATGATTTCTAGGAGAAAAAAAGCGTTTGGCATGATCTTATGGTGAATGACATTAATGATAAGAAACGTCATGGATCTTTATCCGTGAGTATTGACATATCTAATCCGAAAGAAGTGGATATACTCAAGGAAGTATTGCTTATGTGGGGTGACGAAATGAAAGAGCTTGAGATTTTGTTTAAGGTACATTTTCATTTTATGGTTACATTCTAGTCTTATTATATATTGTGATTACTTTCTCACTCATATTTTATTTTTTCAGGAGAACAATGCTTATAGAGAAGAAGGAGAACGTTCTATCAATTGTACATCACATGAAAAATTGTGGGAGAACACAAAACCGTTCCCTAACACTGACTTTCGCGTTTCTACTGTGCGGATGTATAATTTCAGCGGTTCGAATCAAGAAGAATTTGCGTTTGCTTCACATTTTGTGATGCAAAATATGGTGATTGAAAAGATGATGATCAAGACGTCGTCATTTTCTCCGATGAAGAAGTTAAAGGTGGAAGCAGATGTGACCAAGCTAATAGAACTTTCTAAAGGTAATGAAGATCTTAGCATCGAATGCTTTTGATGAAATTTGGTTCCAATCTATCCATTGCTGTTATAAACTAAGTATTTAGCCTTTTCTTTATATTACTTTGAGGATTATAATGGGTTTAATTTCGAGAACTATTTTCGAATTTGTGTTGTGTTATAATTAATATATATTTGAGAATTGTTGTGACAATATATGAGATTTACTTTGTCATAATATTGTTGGAAGAGAAAAGAGAAATTATAAAGTATAAACTAACAAATATGAATATTTTCTGATTTGTTTCATTGCGATCTTGTTTTGGTTCATGAACCGGTTTTATATTTAGGCATTATAAAGCCTAAAAGGAGAAGATTTTTAAATTCTTTTTATTATAAAGACGCACGGTTGGTGGACATTAAATCGCCGATGTTGTATCGTATAATTTTAAATTAGTTGAAGGTGATTTTATCAACTCTTAAGTTTATGGGATTATATATTCCAAAAAGGAAACACACAAAATCTGTACCTTATAAAAATGTCACACATTTCACACATCTACTAAAAATTTCTGGTCCATGAATGTATGTCTAATAATAATCAGAACCACACAATTCTATTTCTCTTTTGCACATTAAGACAATATAACTTTACATTTGAATACATTTTCCCATCACCAAGAAAATCAATTATTTCTATAAAATCTATATATCTCCAAAAAGGAAACGAACTAATTATTTTTTTTCAAAACTTTGAAAGTCAAGAAGAGACA